GACGCTCACGACGCATCCGACGACGACGACGCGGGACGACGATGGAAACGAAGACAACGACGACGACGACGACGACGACGACGGAGGACGACGACGACGACGACGACAACGCAGCCCGACGACGACGAAGACGAAGACGACTAAGACGACGACGACAACGACGACGCAGGACGACGACGACGACGCCGACGACAACGCAGGACGACGACGGAGACGAATGCGACGACGAAGACGACGACGACGACGACGACGACGACGACGCAGGACGACGACGACGACGACGACGACGGCGACCCAGCTGACGCCGACGCCGACGCCGACGCCGACGACGACGACGACGACGCCGCCGCCGCCACCGCCGACGCAGGACGACGACGCCAACGCCGACGCCGACGACGACGCCGACGCCGACGTTGACGTCGACGCCGCCGACAACAGACGACGACGACGACGACGACGACAACAGACGAGGACAGACGACGACGACGACGCCGACGCCGACGCCGACGTCGAAGTCGACGCCAACGACGACAACGCAGTACGACGACGGAGACGAAGACGACGACGAAGACGACGACGACGCAGGACGACGACGACGACGACGACGACGACGGAGACGACGACGACGACGACGACGCAGCCGACGCCCACGCCGACGCCGAACCGACGACGACGAGAACGCCGCCGCCACCGCCACCGCCGACGACGACGACGACGCCGCCGACGCCGACACTGACGTCGACGCCGCCGACAGACGACGACGACGACGATGACGACGACAACAGACGACAACAGACGACGACGACGACGACGCCGACGCCGACGACGACGTCGAAGTAGACGCCGACGACGACAACGCAGGACGACGACTGAGACGAAGACGACGGCGAAGACGACGACGACGCAGGACGACGACGACGACGACGACGCAGCAAACGCCCACGCCGACGCCGACGCCGACGCCGACAACGACGACGACGCCGCCGCCGCCGCCGCCACCGCCGACGCAGGACGACGACGCCGACGCCGACGCCGACGACGACGTTGACGTCGACGCCGCCGACAACAGACGACGGCGACGACGACAACAGACGACAACAGACGACAACAGACGACAACAGACGACGACGCCGACGCGGACGCCGACGCTGAAGCCGACGCCAACGACGACAACGCAGGACGACGACGACGACGACGGAGACGACGACGACGCAGGGCGACGACGACGACGACGACGACGACGACGCAGCCGATGTCCACGCCGACGCCGACGCCGACGCCGACGACGACGACGTCGACGCCGCCGCCGCCACCGCCGACGCAGGACGACGACGCCGACGCCGACGCCGACGACGACGTTGACGTCGACGCCGCCGACAACAGACGACGACGACGACGACAACAGACGACAACAGACGACAACAGACGACGACGACGCCGCCGACGCCGACGTCGAAGTCGACGCCGACGACGACAACGCAGGACGACGACGGAGACGAAAACGACGACGAAGACGACAACGACGACGCAGGACGACGACGACGACGACGACGACGACGACGCAGCCGACGCCGACGACGACGCCAAAGCCGACGACGACGACGACGCCGCCGCCACCGCCGACGCAGGACGACGACGCCGACGCCGACGCCGACGCCGACGCCGACGCCGACGTTGACGTCGACGCCGCCGACAACAGACGACGACGACGACGAAGACGACGACGACGACGACGACCACAACTGACGACAACAGACGACGACAACAGACGACGACGACGCCGACGCAGACGCCGACGTCGAAGTCGACACCGACGACGACAACGCAGGACGACGACGGAGACGAAGACGAGGACGAAGACGACGACAACGACGCAGGACGACGACGACGACGACGACGACGACGACGACGACGACGCAGCCGACGCACACGCCGACGCCGACGCCGACGTCGAAGTCGACGACGACGCCGCCGCCGCCGACGCAGGACGACGACGCCGACGACGACGCCGACGCCACCGCCGACGTTGACGTCGACGCCGCCGACAACAGATGACGACGACGACGACGACGACGACGACGACGACAACGACGACAGACGACAACAGACGACCACGACGACGACGACGACGACGACGACGACGACGACGACGCCGACCGCAGGAGTCGCCTCGGCGGGGCTTCCAGCCTCTGGGAGGCTGGGCGTCGGCGGGCCGTCGCCCGCGCCCGCCTCGGAGGCCCGGGCGGCCCCGGGGAAGTCCGCCTCGCCCGGGAGGGGGCATCTTGCTCGCCCTTCGCCTCCACCTCCTCTCCTCCTTCTCCTCCTCTCCTTCTCCTCCACCTCCTCCTCTCCTCCTCTCCTTCTCCTACACCACCTCCTCTCCTTCTCCTCCACCTCCTCCTTCTCCTCTCCTTCTCCTCCACCTCCTCTCCACCTCCTCCTTCTCCTCTCCTTGTCCTCCACCTTCTCCTTTCCTTCTTCTGCTTCTCCGCATCCTCTTTTTTCTCTCTCTCTCTCTCTCTCTCTTTCTCTCTCTCTCTCTCTATCGCAGCGATCCGCAGCGACCCCAAGCCGTGGCGGCCCGCGACGCCCGAGCAGGGCGCAGCGAACCGACGCGGTACCAGACGTACGCAGACGCTGGCAGTTTCCAGAAGGAGGGGAAGGAGGACTTCCTCCTCCTCCTCCTCCTCCTCCTCCTCCTGCTCCGCCTGCTCCTCCTCCTCCTCCTCCTCCTCATCATCATCATCATCAGCATCATCATCATCATCATCATCATCATCATCATCATCATCATCATCATCATCATCATCATCATCATCATCATCAGCAGCAGCATCATCAGCAGATTCCCGTCCTCCCCTCCTCCTCCTCCTCCTCCTCCTCCTCCTCCTCCTCCTCCTCGTCCTCCTCCTCCTCCTCCTCCTCCTCCGCCTCCTCCTCCTCCTCCTCCTCCTCCTCCTCCTCCTCCTCCCCTATGTGGTGCAAGCTATGTGGTGCCAGCTGCGTGGTGCAGGCTACATGGCGCAGACTGCAGCGGACCCCACGTGGGCGCCCACGGGCGCGCATCGTGCGAACACATGGCTGGGCCAAGCCAACGCACAGGGCGCCCACGAGGGCGCCCACGAGGCGAACCGCAGGCAGAACCTCGCTGGACTTGGCCAGCGCACGGGGCGCCCACGAGGCGCGGGCGCCTGGATGCGGGTGCCCCCCTTTTCGCAGCAGCCTGTTGGAACCCGTAGGTGGCCACAGGCGAACCCTACCCCTACCCCCCACGATTTTTGAGGGGGAGGGTGGGGTTCACTTCGTTCGAGAGCTTCCGAGCGAAGTGAACCCCACCCTCCCCCTCAAAAATCGTGGGGGGTAGGGGTAGGGTTCGCATGTGGCCACCTAACCCGTCGTGCTGCGCTTCGGCTGCTTCGTGGCCCGATGGCGTCCCCCGCCAGGTGGAGTGGACGGTGAGCGCAACAAGCTGATCAGCCTGGCGCCGAGACGGTCCCGACCAGTGCACTGTTCTAAGACGCACGACCCCAACAACAACCGTGAACGCTCCTGAAATGGGTACGGAAAAGGGGTGCGATGCCCAATAGCGACATGGATACGGAAAACTGTGTGCGGAAAGCATGTTGCCCCAGACCGACAGCGCCCGCTGTTAGGCACACGTCTTTTGTCTCCATCGGACAGCTCCCTCGGAGACGCCGACAGCGAGCCCTGGTCAACCAGGGGCCATACAGTCAAACCGTATAGTAAGGATGCGCGATAAGGATGCAAGGGCCTTGGACGCCCAGTTCGAAGCTTTTCGAGCGGGGCGCAGCCAACGAAACTGGCCAAGGATGGGCCGAGGAGGCAAGGATGCAAGGGTACCCTTGGGAACGCTGCCCATCCTTACCATGCGGGTTGACTGTAACTGCTGTCGGTCGTCGTCCCAATCCTTTCCGCACCCCTCCCGATCGCACCGAAACCTCGCAGGCATCAGCCGGCAGGGTGCCTCGCGGAGCTTGCGCGAGCTCCCACGGCGCGCGCAGCGCAGAAGATGGCACCGAGGCAGCCCCGACCGGCGGCACGGCCGACCCGCGGAGCCCTGGAACCAGAAATGACGGCATCCCTGCGGGACAGGAAAATGACCACCACCCTCCTCCTCCTCCCTCTCCCTCCTCCCTCCTCCTCCTCCCTCCTCCTCCTCCCCCTCCTCCCTCCTCCCCCTCCTCCCTCCTCCTTCTTGTTCGCGCCGCCTTCCAGCCGGCCGAAAAAGAAGCAGTGGTCGTGGTCATTTCCCTGGTGCCACGCTCAACGAAAATGACCACAACCACTGCTTTGCTTCTGCGGGCTGGAAGGCGGCAACAAAAGAAAAGCAGTGGCTGTGGCCGTGCTCACGCCCCGCAGTCCCGCGTTCACTTCCGCCTGGGCCCCAGGCGTGGGGCAAGCCGGTCCTGAGAGGAGCGGGTCCTGGCCCCTGGGGCCTCCCTCCCCCTCCTCCTCCTCCTCCTCCTCCTCCTCCTCCTCCTCCCCCCTCCTCCTCCTCCCCCTCCTCCTCCCTCCTCCTCCTCCTCCTCCTCCTGCTCTCCTCCTCCTCCTCCTCCTCCTCCTCCTCCTCGTCCTCCTCCCCCTCCTCCTCCTCCTCCCCTGGCCCCTGGGGTCCTAAGACCTCGGGACCCGTTTCCCGAAGGACCCCTTGCCCCCATGGCGACCGCCGCCGTCCGCCAGCATTCCGCCGACTTCCGCCGGAAGGCCAGGCGCGCCGCACGACGGGGCCCTCTCTGGAGTCTGGAGCACCCCACACGAAAGCGGAAACATGCGTTCGGCTTCGGCGGCGCTTGGGGCAGGCGAAGGCTGGGAACGCAGGGAGAGGGGGGGCAGCCCTTCCAGGCTCCACGTCTGGCCGATGTGGGCGCGTTCCCCCAAAACGCCGATCACGAGATCCCCAGCATGATGGAGATCAACCGGTACCTCGGCCACCGCCCCCATCCAACTCATAGAGATCTTCGGATGTTTCGGCCAGCGCCCGCATCAAACGCTTGGGGGCCACACCTGCCGAATGCGGCCAGCATTCTACAATCGCGGGCTCCGTCGCATCACGAAGGTAAATGAACGGCATGGTCGTGGAAATCCAACAAGGGCGTGGGGTGGATGGTGCCATTGGATTTGGGGTGGCCCAGCCCCATAGACTATCGACGAGCGGACAGTGCGGACCGACTGGTATCCGTGCACTTGAAAATCCGCAGGGCAGCACATCTGAAAGCCTTCTCAGGACACGTGCGAGAAACGGCTTGAACAGGACCAGCCTATGTCGAAGAAACGCTCCCAGCGAAAACTTTGCATCTGGCTGCACTGCACCCAGTTCGTGCGCCATGCACTCCAGAAAGAGGACGGGGGAAGAGACAGGAGATAAGAGGAGGGAGGAGGAGGTATGAGGAGGAAGGAGGGAGGGGAAGTGAGAACGATGGAGGAGGGGAGGGGGACAAGTGGGACGCCCGTGCACAGCAGGAGCTGCAGGGCAAATTGGCGGCACCCCCTCAAGGGGTGGCGGACCCGGGGGAGCGGAAAGGGAGGGGGCGGAGACGAGGAAACAAGAGAGTGCGGAAGGACCAGGGCCCCCGACGACACCAGGGCACTGGCGAGCAGCCAGGGCACCGGCGGGCCCGAGAAACGCTGCGGCCGTGGGTCGGAGCGCCCTCCACTCTGGGTGTTCGTCCTCCAAGGGGGGCCCTCTCGCGGTCCCGGTCCGCGCTGTGCTGGCCGAGGGGAGCCCTGCGGCCGTCTGCCAGCTGCCGCGGCGGCGCGCGGCGATGGCGCGAGCCCGCTGACCCCGACTGCCCCTGCTGCTCGGCCCGTGGCTTCACGGCGGGATCCCGTCCGCTGCCAGCAGCTCCTGCGCCTCCCCGCGCCGAGCGAGCACGGCCGCCAGCAGGAAGCCCGGAGAGGTCAGGGCGGCGCAGAGCAGCAGGAGGTGGAGCTCCACGCCCGCCCTGCCAGTGGCGTCCAAGACGAAGGCCACGCTGGTGGCGCCGGTGGTGAACACCATCACGTTGGCGAAGACGCCGGGGCTCCTGTCGGGGCCGGGGAAGTACTCTGCGAAGATGGCCCTGTTGGTGCTCTCGTAGACCGCCCGGCCCACGCCCATGCAGGCGTAGAAGACAAGGGCGCCCCATCCCCACTCGGTCGGGTCGCCGACCTTGCTGAGCGCCCCGAGCAGTGCGAAGCACACCGCGCCAAGCATCAGGATGGGCCCCTTGCCTGTCGTCTGCGAGACCGTCCCGAGAACCTGGCACAGCACGGCTGCGAGCGCCGACGTCAGGGCGCTAGCGAAGCCGATGACGCCAGAGCTCACCGCCTTCGACAGGATGTTCTCGCCGACGTACCCGGCCAGCCACGCGGCGGCGAGTCCGAAGGTGATATTCGTGAACTGCAGCAGCCAGAACTTGGGGTCACGCCACAGCTTGCCCGCGGCGAGTATCTTCGAGAAGAGCTCGGCATTCAAAACAGCGGCGCCGCTCTGCAGATTTGTCGCCGTCGCCATGAACGCCAAAGCGGACAAAAGGGCAAGCGAGGAGTACATGTAAAATATGTCCGAGTAGCTCAGCTTCGCATACTCGCGCAACACCGTGGTTAGCAACCTGACGCCGGCCTCAAAGCCGAGAAAGATGGCACCGAACGTCTTTGCTAGCTCTGCCGTCGTGGCACCCATGCCTTTGTGCTCGGCTTCTGCCAACCTCTGTGCCGAAGATGCGAAGATCGCACCCTGGCAAGTCCATAACAATCCGGCTCCACAACCACCGATCGTCGCGCCCACGATTGCGGCTGGAAACTGCACCAGAGATCCCTCGGTGCACACACCGTGAGCGTCCGTTTGCACGCACGCAGCGGCAGCAACAGAAAATAGGAATACGTACGCCGCGTAACAGACCATGGAGACAGACAGGCCTATATTTGAACCTAGTAACGAGAACAGTGGGTTGGCAAACAACAGCGATACAACCAAAGTCGCGCCATACAGAACTGCGTTGCCGCTTAGCCCAGCAGTGCTGGTGAGCACACTAGATGCGTAGAGGATCGGTGTCGTCACCGCGGCGTGGTTGACCGCAAAAGCGATGCTCATGATGAGAAACTCCCGTCGATGTCTCCTCGCCTTTCGGGCATCCTGCTGAGCACTTCGGACCGCCACGTTGTCCGCTGCCGGTGGACAGACGCCCTCAGCCATGCCGTGACAGGAACCCGCCCAGAGAGTGTACGAAATGGGGTGCGGACACGTCCGCCGTCGGAAGGGGCCACGGGCCGAGCTGAAACGGCTCCGTCCCCAGCGGCTTGAGCACAGAAGGCGGTCGGGCAGAGGACGGGCAGAGCGGGGCGGCCGCCGACGGCCCGAGCTTGGCTCGAAGAAGCCCCGGCCTCCTCAAAGGCGGCCCCGAGGTGGATGAGGAGAGCGTGATGATGAGAACGATGGCGCGCGGAAGAGGGCGGCAGTGCTGTCGCCCCCCAAACCATAGGCTGCTCACGAATGTCGGAGCAGCTCCCTGGACAGCGCCGCGGGTGGCCCAGCCCTGTGCCGCCTGAACTCATCTCTGCAATCCCTGACCCCCTCGGAGAAGGGCCCACCACTGGTCTCCATCAATAAACCCCCTTCCCCCACTCGACCAGCCGCCAACCAAGAATAAGGGTCCCGCCTCCACCATCCATGCCCCCCAGAAAATACAAAGTACCCGTGGCGGCAAAATCTGGGTCATAAGCGCAACCCCCACGGTCAACGCGCAGTGGCACGCCGACCATTCGGCGAGTGTCAGACGCTGTCGTCGTCTTCGTCGTCGTCTGCGCCAGTCCCAGGAAAAGTGAAGAACAAACAAAGAAAAACAATGTCGATTCCCTTTCCTTTTCCCTTCCCTCAGGGGAGGAGACAAGGGGGCGTATGGGGGGGTCAAAACACTTTCTCTGCCCGCAAGTCGTCTCGCTCACTCCCACCCGCCCACGTCAACACAGAAGTAACACCCGAGTCTCTGCATGCCCCCTAGGAACGTCACACATGCCATGAGCGCCATGAGGGGGCCCCAATTCAGATTACTGCCCCCTCGCGGGTCCTGGCTGGTCACGGGGTGGTCCCACCTTCCCTGAACATTTTTCTCAGGGTGGAAGGCTGAGGGTGAAATCCATATGGGCGTTTGCACCTCGAAAACCAATCAGTCTTGTGGGTGGATGGCTTTCAGGGTGAAGCTTGTGTTGTGTAGCGGCCTATGTGTATGCAGCAGCGCCTAGCTTCGCTACGAGGTCGCGACTGCGCCCGCGCGTGGTCAGGCATCGTTGATGGCTCGCACCCAGCAGTCTTTCAAACAAGACCTTAACGCCCCGCCGATGTCACCCGCGGGCTGTTCGCGCATCGACGGATCCACGCTCAGCGCATCCGCGAATGGCAGGCGGGCGCGAACTCCCTCGACATGTTAGCAAATGTGTTTCGCTCTGTTGCAGGCGCCCCGTCCCTGATTGGCCGGGCGGTTCGCCATTGGTTGGTTGGCTCGCTGGCTGTTTGGCTGGCGGATTGACTGTTGGGCTGGATGGTTGGATGGATGGATGGTTGGGTGGCTGGCTGACTCTCTGGGCCCCCGAGCACGCGACTGGAGCCAGACAGGTTAACGGGCACGCGACTGGCGCGCGGCAAGTGTACGAGCACGCGACTGGCACCCGACGGGTGAACGAGCACACGACTGGCGCCCAACAGGTCAATCCAGAATTCTGGAATCGTTTTTGGCGTTCTAGTATTCACTTCGTCGTTCCAGAACTGTTTCGTCCGTTCTAGCAGTTGTTTTCGCATACGCGGCTTGTACACATGTGTGAAAGTGTAGCATTCAGCTTTGCGTTCTAGAGCTACTCTTGCTGTTCTAGAATTCGCCTTGCGGTTCGAGAATTTCGTTCTGCGTTCTAGAATTCAATGTGCTTTTCTAAAACAGCCTTATAATTCGCTTTGCTTTTCTAAAACCCCTTAGAATTTGTTTTGCTTTTCTAAAACCCCCTGCGGCCGTTTGGTCGGAAACGCGTGGGAAAAACGGCGGGGGCCGGGACTCGGGGGCCCATCGCGGGGCGGCAGGGGTGGCCCCGAGGGGAGCCCCGAGCGGGCTTCGGAGGCACGTCTGCGCACGTCTGTGGAGCCGCCGCGCCCCAGCTTGGCGACATGGGGGACGGGGGCCTGAATTGAGAGAGTGGGCGTGGCTTAATGGGGGGTCACAAATAGGGGGGTCAGAAAAGGTCCCCTTTCGTGCCCCTTTCGGGCCCCTCCAGAGCCCCAGGGGGCTCGTTCAGGTACCACTTGGGTACCTTTTCGGACCACACTCGCCGCCCCCCCATTTATGATCCCCCATTACGCAGCGCCCAAGAGGGCGACTCGAATGGAGGTGCCGGCGACGGCGTGGGCGTGGTCAAGGGCCGAGTGCACATGAGTTCCAGAAACATGATGCGTCACCCGTCACCCCCCCGCTGCCACTGGTGATTGGCGCCAGCGGGCGGCAACGATGGGGGTGGAGGCGGACACGGGGGAGCAGGAGGCGGAGAAGGAAAGGGCGGGGGAAAGGGGGAGGGAAGTTCACGGGTGGGGATGTTTTGGGCGAAGCGGCATCTTCAGACCTCACCCTCTGCCCTCCACCCAAAGGCAATGCTCGGCCTCCCACCTGGACAGGTGAAACTAGAAGAGGTTCCCACTGGAGGCCCGCCCATGGCCCCGGCCCCGGCCCCGGCCCCAGCCCCGCCCCGGCCCCGGCCCGGGCCCTGGCCCTGGCCAAGGCCCTGGCCCTGGCCGTGGACCTGGCCCCAGCCCTGGCCCTGGCCCGCGCCGTGGCCCTGGCCAGCCCTGGGGCCCCGGGAGGGGACCTCGAGGTCCCAGGGGAGGTCCCGCCTTCAGGGTCGGCGGCACTGGCAGCAAAGCCTTCACGGTAAAGAGAGAGGGATGTGCCGAAATGGGCGTGGGTGACGCATGCGGGCGGTGGCAATGGGGCCTTCGGTGGAGCTCCCTGTAGGGCCAAGACACGTGTGAGCGGTGTGCCGAAATGGGTGTGCGTGACGCATGTGGGCGGTGGCACTGGGGCCTTCGGTGGAGCTCCCTAGTGGGCCACGGAACGTGTGAGGGGTGTGCCGAAATGGGTGTGCGTTGCGCATGCGGGTGGTGGCACTGGGGCCTTCGGTGGAGCTCCCTAGTGGGCCACGGAACGTGTGAGGGGTGTGGGGCCTTCGGTGGAGCTCCCTGTAGGGCCAAGACACGTGTGAGCGGTGTGCCGAAATGGGTGTGCGTGACGCATGTGGGCGGTGGCACTGGGGCCTTCGGTGGAGCTCCCTAGTGGGCCACGGAACGTGTGAGGGGTGTGCCGAAATGGGTGTGCGTTGCGCATGCGGGTGGTGGCACTGGGGCCTTCGGTGGAGCTCCCTAGTGGGCCACGGAACGTGTGAGGGGTGTGCCGAAATGGGTGTGCGTTGCGCATGCGGGCGGTGGCACTAGAACCTTCGGTGGAGATCCTCCCTAGGGGGCAACGAAACATGTGAGAGATGTGCCGAAGTGGGTGTGCGTGACCATGCGGGCGGTGGCACTGGGGCCTTCGGTGGAGCTCCCTAGGGGGCCACGAAAAGTGTGAGGAGTGTGCCGTAATGGGTATGCGTGACGCATGCTGGCGGTCGCACTGAGGCCTTCGGTGGACATCCCTGTGGGGCCACGAAACGTGTGAGGAATGTGCCGTAATGGGTATGCGTGTCGCATTCGGGCTGTGGCCTTCCGTGGAGCTCCCTATGGAGTCACGAAACGTGTGAGGGGTGTGCCAAAGTGAACGGTGAGGGCAGAGGCAAGGAGGGGGAGGAGGGGAAGGGGGAGGAGGAAGGAAGGAAGGAAGGAAGGAAGGAAGGAAGGAGGGAACGCGGGGCGCTGTCTCTTTGAAACGAGGACCCAACACCACAGGATGGTTGGGAAAAAAAACATACGGACGGGAGACCATACGGCAGACCATGCGGGCAATCATAGGGGAGCCCATACGAGAGGCCACACGGAAAACGATACGGGGAGCCATACAGGGCCATACGAAAGACTGTAGGGGAGACCATACGACGGGCCACACGGGAGGCCATATGGTAGACCATACGGGAGACCACGCGGAAAACCTACGGGAGACGCCACGTGAGACAATGCGGAAGACCGTGCGGGAGACCACGCCAAAGACCATACGGGAGACCATGCGGTAGACCATGTGAGACTAACAATACCGGCATGCGGACGACCACGGGCCACCGATTCCGGATCCGATAAGGCTCACACCCGGCCATTGAAATATGTGATGGGACCCTTGCAGACAGGCTGCTAACGGGAGGTGCAAACTGATTGCCAGGACACACACACACACATTCGTCCAGGCTGACTACCCCGCCGCCGGTTCGAATGGGCTTCCACCCGAAATAATCGAGGGGGTCAGCATATTTCCGGATGCGTGCTGTCACGTGCACTGGCGCACCTGTCGCCGCCTGGCGCACTCTGCGCGCGCGTCGCGCACCAGGCGCAGCTGGGGCATGTGGTACACTTGGCGCTGAGGACATTTGGCGCACCAGGCGCGCCTCTGAACGCTTGGGCCCTCGGGGTCACTGGATGCACCTGGTGCCCGCGCCGCACCTGGCACGCGTGGCGCACCTCGCGAGCGTCGCGCACCCGGCGTCTGGAACGGTTCCCGGTGGCTGTCCGTCCGATTTGCCAGGTGCCTGGTGCTGCTCGTATTCTGCGGGCGGGGGTGGGCGAGACAGCTTGTGGCGAGACAGCTCGACTCCTCCCCCATACCCCATCCCCAGGACCCCAAATTCGGCGGAAATCTGACCTGCAAGACGCCACGCTTCCTCCCTCAGGACGCCAATGTGCAGGCACCAAAGACAGGCACCATGATTCTTGTTTGCCTCCCAGCAAATGGGGCCAGAGAAGCGGCCCTTTCCGTTACCACCCGCCTATTTGTCCAAAACGGCTCCTAAGACAGCCCTAGAGGCCCCAAAGACCCTCCAAGAGCCTCCCGAAACGGAAAATAGATGCTCCCCAGAGGCGTCCAAAAAAGCAACAACAAAAAACTACAGACGGCCCAGAACCCCCCGAGAAGACCCCCAGCCGGCCTGAAGGGCCTCCAATCAGCTCTAAAGACGACCCAATAAGCTCCCCGGAGAAGAAAACCACCATCACCTGAAGATACCCCCACAGGCGCCCCAGAAGTGTCCGATGACTTTAAGAAGCCCCTACAGAGCACAGAAAGCCAGAGGACCCCAGAACGGCCTGAAGAGACCCCTATCAGACTTCCAAGACGGCTTAACAGACCACCGAGACGCCAGCAGGCATCCAAGAAGCCGCCAATAAAAAATGTCGCCCCCCAGGCCAAAGAGGAACACACGCCTCTCAAAGACCCCCTATAC